ATCATACCGCTGTTTGCGCATGATCCCAAGCTCGAGATTGAGTTATTCACAGGCTTCACCGTTTCTATATTTTGACTGTGAAATTCCAGCGTTCCGTCCGCAAGCACCGGACACAGCTGAGAAAGGGAAATCGAAGAAAAACATAGTATCTCCATGCTCTCGAAGAGTCTTTGAAGAATATCCAAGATCGGATTCCCATCTGGAAAAGGTAAGAGTAGATGAAAGATGAAGATGAATCAATTGAAAACCACCTCCGCCATCTAAAATTAAAGATTCCCTATAGTGGCACGTATGTTGAGGTAACGAGTTTCGAAATCATTACTTTTCCTTTTAATAAAGTGCTGCCTGAAAAACTCGAAATGTGACGAAACTTGTTTTCTTTTTGTTCATTCCATCATTCACCGGGTGATTCAACTTTGAACCATCGTTGGAATTGGGTAAATCAGAAAATCAATGTTGAATCCATTTGATCTCCTACTGAATACGCAGGGTTTCTCAGAAACTCCGTCGCAAGTTTGACTAAGTGAATCAACACCTCACAATTTTGTTTTTTAGTTCGGAGAATAGCATCTGGCTTCTAGCAGAATGAGAAAGCAGGAATTCAATGTTTTAGCCGCTAAAACAAGTTTCCATTTTGATCAAGGCCCATACACACCTTCGCCGGGGATTGTCGTCGACAGCCTTCCGGTACATGTCATTCATGGCTCATTCATTCATTGGCTCATTCATTCATTGGCTCATGGCATTCAGTCTGGCTGAAACTGCATTGATGAGGTCAAGGATATTACCGAAGGGTTAGTGGTCTACATCATCTCGTTCGAAAAAAAAACCACAACCAATCATCACAAACCGTTGGTTTTAACAGCAGTTGTGACGAATGGTCCCTGGTTTTCGTATGATACAAAATTCATTTCCATCAGAATAAAGGACATAATAATGTACCAAACTTTGGGAGGGTTTTCTGGGACGCAATGCCCAATCTGAGCGGGAGATAAAAGAAAACTGGTTGAAATCGAATTCCTTTAAATCGGTTCTTCCACGTGAATACCGAATCCCTGTCAAAATCGAATATGGTCGACCTCACTCTCTGGTCGAGTTGGCGGGGAATGACCAAAGTGCAAATGGACATTTAAATCTGGCGATTTAAATCTGAATGAAAGCGGAGATGTTCGTTCTTCCCATTCGAATCTGTTCGATAAGTGCCAAAACGGGAACGTTTCAGAAAGTGGGAATTTTGATTTTCCTCCTGGAAATCCTAGCCAAACTCGAAGGGTCTCCCTTTCGACAACCCAGGATTGAAAGTCGAGAAATGTTTCTTTTCCCTCACCCGCAAGACCCATCACGTGATTTGCAGGTTGCACTGCAGAGAAAACGTCCTGCGATGATTTTCTTGAAGAACCTTGGCTGGTGCTTTTTAATTGGCTAATGCTGGTGAATTGGCCGATCCATTGAACTCCCATGTAAAAGAATGAGATAGATTTTTGTGAGAAATGGTCCCTTTAGGGACAGAGAGCCAGATTTAGAACGATATTTAAAATCTCGCATGAAGAAAGTTTGAATGTAGTCGATCATATTGAAGAATGCAGTCCCATGCACCAGGTGTTCGCAGTGCTGCAATTTATTGGGCAAAAAACGATTGCCAGGCTTCCATTCTCCCATAAGGTACTTAGGCAGTACTCAGGTGGTCCTGGTAGGAAGAAAAATGTAGTTGCGTGTCGATGCTGATGGAATGATACTACTATTGGAGCTCTTCACAGTGCCGGAGGTGTACTTCCAGCCATGATGAATTTTCACTCAGGCTGTATTTTCAGTCCTCAGTCTGTTCACAGGGTGGATGCAAGTCCTCAACAGGACCTTTCGAGGTTCTAGATTCGATGTGCTGGTGATGTTGCGCGTCTTTGCCTCAATACAGCAAGGATTTGTGCTCCAATGAGCAGATTTTATGCTTGGAGTCGTCCCAGTTCGGGGGCAGCAAAGCATGGGCGATTGCCGGAGGTACTGGAAGAACTAGGATAATACGTCTGGGGTACTCGCAAGTCTGAAGCAGAAGCCAACTCGGAACGTCTCAGTCGTGCTATTTCAAAATACCAGATTAACAATGCACGTGGATTGTCACCAGATCATAGATTTTTGAGAAGGAAAAGCCACGTTCATCTTCTGCGTTCGAACATTCAGAATTCACATTGGGTAATGACCAAAGATTGCACGATTCACAAATCGAAATGATTTCCAAGTGATGACGTCTCGTACAGTAAATTATACAAAGGCACAATAGGTCCGAAAGCCTTCGGAGACCTATATCAGCAGAGTATTCGTGGCGTTAAGCAACCTTTTTCTTCATTTCAGAGCGATTCGCTTTTGATTTGGTGGCCTTATCTTGTTCCTGCCATATATTATATTGTTCCTGTCTCTGCCTGTGTCTCTTCCTGTTCCTCTCCCTCCTGCTGTTCTCGCAGCCTCCGTCTCTCAAGACCTTGTTCATGGGACAAAACGAGAGCCTCCGTGGCAGATCTCTGTCACAGCGACTTCCTCTGTGGTAGCGATCTAATGCTACAAGACGAAGATGCGGTATCTTCCACGTGCAGCGCCAGGACCACTTCAAGAGGGCCGGGTCAGAAATTGCAGGTAGAAGGTACAGTCTCTTCGGATCCCGGGGGAACGGCACCACGGCGAGAGCTGCGTATGAAGCACTCGTTCCCGAGGTTTCTAAAAACGTCAAGGAGCAACACCCAGGTCATTCGAGCTTTGTATCATTTCCACCGGAAAGAGAACCGATTTTTTTTTTAACGACAAAAGTGAATGCCGACCGATATTGAAATACTCATTCAAAATATTCACATTCAATCTGAAGTACTCATTAAAAAACACGGTATCAGCATTTGTTCCGGATCTGGACTCGTCTTAGATCTATCCTCTTGCTTGTAGACACAAACATTCTTATAATTTAAGCTCATTATATTCAGAGTCCTGCAGGAATTTCTAGAACAGATGCTTCTGGACGATGATGAAAATTCCAAGTGAAATACTGCTGATACTCAGTTCCATTGTCAAAGATATCCTTAAAAGGTAATCAAATAATGTACAGGGTGTACCAAAAGTCACATCCCATAGGGTTTACAATCGAATCATGTTTATTTTCATCTTTATTAAAGCTAATGTTCAAATTTTTAACCACCAACTTCGAGGCACTTATTGACGTTCGTCCTTCGTTAGTTTCACAGACTATTTTGTCCCTTGGGGCGGGAGGGGGTGTCTTTAGTAGATATGAAAGTTAATGGATGGCAGGTGTGAATCGCAGGCAATACGAGGGTATAGAGTGTCCCTCTCTTTTTTATGACCAATATTATATTACATTCTCCCACCATCCTGTGCTCTTGAATTTCATCAAGACCCATGTACTGCGTTAACGCTTCAAGCTCATTGAAGAATTCGAATGTGGTGTATTTCGGAATAAATCGAGTTCAGTATGGAACACTGGGAACTCATTCAATTATACAGGAAGTTATATTTGCGATTCGCACATCATTTCCTTTTAGTCGTGGGAACATTGTTTCTTTGATTAACCGCTAGGTGGTTCGAATGTTGCCCAGTCAAATTATGCAGAATCGTTCTAAGTATGTTTTTGAAAGTTCGCTAAAGGGACTCATTTATGTGCCGGAACCAACAATAAATATATCATGAATGCTCAACAAGACTAGTATCTGGCGTGAGTATGAAATTACAGGTCTAAAATCTTATCTACAATGAACTTACTCGATTTCTTAAGTCTTTTTCCAATTCATGAATCGGAGAAGAGAACTGATGAAGAGCTGATACGAGAACATAGTCTCATGAGGACAGACATGAGATGAAGTTTGAAACAAAAAAAAACGGCGAAAAAGAAATGGCAGATTTGACCTCTTCTCACGTAACGACTCTTGTTCTCTTTTCAGAGATTCGGACTCCAGGCATCCTAGCTCCTAGCATCAGGACTGAAAATTCTTTTGATCTCCATCCCGCTTGTCATCCTGACGCCTCACTCGTCTTCTCCGTTATGTTAGTCCAGTGGTATACTAGCTTATCACTATATGTTGCTCATGTGGGACAAATGAAGTGTCTCCATTAACCAGCGATTCCAACGATTCGATGTTGAGTGAGGAAGAAGTAGATTCCATGTCATTTCCTCGACGGTTAAATTCATTGAATGCACATTTCTTCGAGAGGACAGTTTATCGACTGGACGTTCTTTAGTAAAACTTTCGTCAGGTGTTGTTCAGCGAATTTCATATTTTAAATTTTGCTGAGGAAGCGTCAAAAGATGAATCAATCGTTTTGATGAAAGAACCCACAAGGAGAGCGTCGCAGTCGACGGCACGTTAACTCGTGATGAATTGTCCTTAGAAAAAATCTAATTTCATTGAATCGAATCGGAAGAGTGCCTCCCAAGGACACTTCTAGTCGAAGAAGAGTTCAGTCGCCGAAGTGTCAAAAAAGAAGTATCGGTGGAAGTTTCTTTCGAAAAAGTGACATGAGACCAAAAAGCCCGTCCAAATTTCGTTCCTTCTGATGCTCTCTGAAAGAGGAAAGCAAGGAGGTTCAACTTCATTAGGGGAAGAGATTGAATGAAGGTACCAAAACCTCGTGATGAAGTCTTCATTTACCGTCTCGAAAATGCTGAACTCAACTGAAGTTTCCTGAATGGGAAGCAACTCAATACATGCCTGCCTTCTCAGCAATAGAATTTGATGAAGAAACAAAGAAGTTTATGTTATCCTTGATTGTTCGCCTTATTTTTCCTCAACAAAAGATCATCAAAGAGACGCATGAGGAAGCATTCCTGCCCTGGGGACATTGATGGGAAGCAACGAAATTCACTCATGATTCACTTCTTCGCCTTTTCCTACTCCAAGAGGTTTCATTAATCTAAGGAAGAATGCTTAAGGCTAAAGTCAAGTCCCCATTTTAAGCCTAGAGTGTCCATCTGCATTCCGAAGAACTTTATGGGAAAAAAAGGCAAGACAGACATTCCAATAGTTTTATGTTCAATAATCATCTTCATGGGCCTCTAGGATTCCCTTCGATTGTGGAACTGCGATCGGAATGAATCCATGTGAAGAAGTCGCCTTCGCGAGGGGGATTCGTCTTCAAGCAGAAATCTTCAAAATATTCAGGATCCAGGTCTTGAAAATCAATCCCATCAGCGCATGTTCCCACGATGCTCGCCAGGAAATCGGGATTCAGCACGATCCATGCCATGCTACAGCCACACACGATGGCATCGCCAGTTGAGGCATCTGCACAAGATGAGAAGGGAAAGTGGGAGCATGCAGGCAGCGATTTGGAGAGATCTGGGAAACTCACCGCCGAAATCGATATATCCACTTCCAGTTGAGAGCACCTCCAAAATAGGCCTGAAGGACTCTTCCGTCAATTCCTGGATATCGTTCCACCAAAGCCTTATAATCGTGTGAGCAATCAAACCTGAAAATATGAAGATAAAAAACCCGATTTAAGCCGTCAAAAACATTCCATAGGGTGATGCAAACTTAGAAATCGGCGTGAATGGGAAATGTAAGCCTGAACCTGTGCAGATGTTACAGAGATGTGGATCATACCGTTGATTCCATGTGATTCCACGCTGGAGATTTCGTTACCACCGAGAGAAATCTTGGCCAAAACCTGACTATGAAATTCCATTGTTCCGTTCGCAAGCACCGGACCCAGCTGACAACCGTGAATCGAAGCATTTTGTAGACTCTCCATGCTCTCGAAGAATCCTTGAGGAATCTCCATGATCGGATTATAATCTGGAATAGATAATGGTAGATGAGATATGAAGATAAATTAATTGAGAACCACCTGCGTCATATCAAAATTAAACATTCCCAATCGAGGCACGTAACGAGTTTTTAAATCGTTTATTCTCCTACTTTTAATAGAGTGCTTCCTGGAAAACTCGAAATGTGGCGAACGCGCTTCGTTCTCGTTCATTGATTCATGCACCGAATGATTCAACTTTGAACTACCGGTGGATTTGGGTACATCGGAAAGTCAATGAAGGTTCAACAATGAATCAACTTGAACTCCAATTGAATGCCTGGGGTTTTTAAGAAACCCCGCCGCAAGTTTGACCAAGAGTAAGACTTTGTGAATGAACACATGTCAATTTTATTTTTATTTTTTTTTAATTCAGAGTATCACATGCACCTTCTCCTTCGAAGAAGAATCAGTAAAATGTAATCACAAACCGTCCGTTTCGACAGCAGATGTGGAGAAGGGTCCCCGGTTTTTGTATGATACAAAACCTATTTACATCAGAAGAAATAGTCATAATTATGTATTAACTTTGGGAAAAGTTTCTGAGACATATTGTTTATCGAAAATCGGTATTTCAATTATGTGAAATCATCATTGATTCGCTGCTTTTAATTTCAAAATGTTAGTATTTTTTGTTAGGAAATAGAACTAAATTACAGTATGATGCGTCGGTATCTAACTAGACCATATCCGTGAATGACGTAGGGGAAATGTACGCATTTCGACTCATATGCGTAAATTCTATTTTCATTTCGGTTAGGAAAGGAACGGAGAGGTGAAGGGGCATCGTGTTAGGTGTGGGGGTCGGAGAGTAACAAACATATAATTGCATCACCGAGTTTAATAAGAGCTTACTTACCGAAACTGAAGGATTGCAAGCTTGGTAAATTCCATCCGGTGCCAAGTGTGATTATGCCGTTGTTCATGAGAGTCAAATGTCTCATACTTTCACTTTCAAGAGCCGGCACAAGCCTAAAATTACAGTCATTAATGTAGAAAACCTGAAGATGAGTTAGCTGGGGGACGATGTCCCAGGGGAAGTCCTGCAGCCCGCACGTTTGGCAATCAAGCGTTACAATGCGATCTTTTAAGGAAATTAAGACCGATGGATGGATGGTGGTCACTCTGGTATACCAAAGGATTATGTTTTCGAATGTGACCTTTCCGAACAGTCCTTCTGGCCACTCCATGATCGCCTCATTGTGCCTCATCACGAAGGTACTGCAAACAGAGCAATAGGAAACGTCAATACAACTGATGGAACACTTTTTTCTCTCGATTTATCCAATTCTGATTCATTATATTTTATTAAATATTATATGACTATATGATTCAATTTCAAATATTTCAGGCCTACAGTTTTCGCGTCAGGTCATAATCTTCGATTTCCTTCAAAATAAAAAAACATGGTCCTTCCATCCAAGAGATGAAATATCACACGATATTTTCCTCTGTAACTGCAATAGTTTCGGAAAAAAGGATAAATAACGGTCTCTATAAAGGGCGGCTTAAGAAATCCCCGTTATCCCCCACATTCTATTTGCTTATCTCCCGTATTCAAGTATAATGACTTCTGAAGTAATTCATTGTTTACTTCAAAGTACGTATTGTGTTCACAATTTTTTTGGTAAGTTGCCAATCTGATTGTACGTTGCAAATTTTGATGAAATTTGGAAGACACATAGGATGGCTCCATTAGGGTTTGTGCGATAGGTTTCAAATAAAAATGCCAAAAACTGTGAGATTGCCATTTAATTTACATTTCATCACCAAAAAAGTAAACGTTAATTTTTTATTTCAGCTTAAAATATTTCCCAACTAACAAAAACAAACAAGCAAACAAGCAGAATTTAAAAAAGCACAAATTCCAAACACGACGGCCCACATTTTTGGTTAAGGGACATTCATTTCAACTGAGAAGGTGCTTAGTGCGCCCTCCAATCTGTTGAACACAAGCCTCTCGTCTGGGACCCCACAGATGAATGGCTCGGTCAGTCAGCCTTTGAGCAGTGCCTCCCAATCTTCCTTTGTAGCATTATGCTGGGATGGAAGTTCATGAATTCGAACCTCCCTTTCATCCCAGCCTCAAGTTCATATCGATATAAATCCGACAGCACATTTTGTCGTTAGTCATCAGGAAATAATTACAGCACCTATAATTTTAGACCCAGAAAGTTGAAATTTGGTACGCAAACATTAGCTGCTTCACCCTATAAGTGTAATAATTTTAATTAAAATTGGCCGCCTTCAAAGAGATTGACGTATCATCAAAAACGACAACTTTGTGGTTTTCTTGCCCACCCTGTTTATACCAAAATCCTCGTAGATGAACCCCCAAGGTTTTCTGAGTGCTTTAATAAACCACTTCTACATAGTTTCGAGAGATCTTGCAACCGAATGTGCAATGACGATCGTGGGAGCAAGTCCAACTCACTTTAATTCCGTGAATGGCCAAATGACTTCATTGAAGGCCGAGAAAATCTCCCAGACCGAAGTTACGGTACTACAAACAACCGTCACAGCCTTGGTTTCAGCATCGTACGAGCAGGAACAGGGAGAAATGTCGTCGGGTTGGGGACACAGGCTCTGTCCGTTGATCCAGGGGATGAAAGGGAGGNACCTGACTATGAAATTCCATTGTTCCGTTCGCAAGCACCGGACCCAGCTGACAACCGTGAATCGAAGCATTTTGTAGACTCTCCATGCTCTCGAAGAATCCTTGAGGAATCTCCATGATCGGATTATTATCTGGAGTAGATAATGTTAGATGAGATATGAAGATAAATTAATTGAGAACCACCACATTAATTGAGAAAGGAACGGAGAGGTGAAGGGGCATCGTGTTAGGTGTGGGGTGGGAGAGTAACGAACATGTAATTGCATCACAGAGTTTAATAAGAGCTTACTTACCGAAACGGAAGGATTGCAAGCTTGGTAAATTCCATCCGGTGCCAAGTGTGATTATGCCGTTGTTCGTGAGAGTCAAATGTCTCATACTTTCACTTTCAAGAGCCGGCACAAGCCTAAAATTACAGTCATTAATGTAGAAAACCTGAAGATGAGTTAGCTGGGGGACGATGTCCCAGGGGAAGTCCTGCAGCCCGCACGTTTGGCAATCCAGCGTTACGATGCGATCTTTTAAGGAAATTAAAACCGATGGATGGATGGTGGTCACGCTGGTATACCCAAGGATTATGTTTTCGAATGTGACCTTTCCGAACAGTCCTTCTGGCCACTCCATGATCGCATCATTGTGCCTCATCACGAAGGTACTGCAAACAGAGCAATATGAAACGTCAATACAACTGGTGGAACGCTCTTTTTTCTCACGATTTATCCAATTCTGATTCATTACATCCTAGTAAATGTGATATGATTATATGATTCAATTCCTAATATTTCAGGCCTACAGTTTTTGCGTTACGTCATGATCTTCGATTTCCTTCAAAATAAAAAAAACATATGGTCCTTCCATCCAAGAGATGAAATATCACACGTTATTTATCTCTCTAATTGCAATAGTTTCGGAAAAAAAAGGAATAATGGTCTCTAAAAAGGACGACCTAAGAAATCCTCGTTAGCCCCCACATTCTATTTGCTCATCTCCCATATTAAAGTACTGTATACTGACTACTGAAATAATTTATTGTCTACTTCAAAATACGTACTGTGTTCACTACTTCTTTTGGTAAGTTGCCAATCTGATTATAAGTTGCAAATTTTGATGACATTTGGAAGACACATAGGGTGGCTCCATTAGGGTTTGTGTGGCAGGTTTCAAATAAAAATGCCAAAAACTGTGAGATTGCCATTTAATTTACATTTCATCACCAAAAAAGTAAACGTTAATTTTTTATTTCAGCTCAAAATCTTTCACAACTAACAAAAACAAACAAGCAAACAAGCAGAATTTAAAGAAGCACAAATTCCAAACACGAAGGCCCACATTTTTGGTTTAGGGACATTCATTTCAACTGAGAAGGTGCTTAGTGCGCCCTCCAATCTGTTGAACACAAGCCTCTAGTCTGGGACCCCACAGATGAATGGCTCCGTCAGTCAACCTCTGAGCAGTGCCTCCCAATCTTCCTTTGTAGCATTATGCTGGGATGGAAGTTCATGAATTCGAACCTTCCTTTCATCCCAGCCTCAAGTTCATATCGATATAAATCCGACAGCACATTTTGTCGTTAGTCATCAGGAAATAATTACAGCACCTATAATTTTAGACCCAGAAAGTTGAAATTTGGTACGCAAACATTAGCTGCTTCACCCTATAAGTGTAATAATTTTAATTAAAATTGGCCGCCTTCAAAGAGATTGACGTATCATCAAAAACGACAACTTTGTGGTTTTCTTGCCCACCCTGTTTATACCAAAATCCTCGTAGATGAACCCCCAAGGTTTTCTGAGTGCTTTAATAAACCACTTCTACATAGTTTCGAGAGATCTTGCAACCGAATGTGCAATGACGATCGTGGGAGCAAGTCCAACTCACTTTAATTCCGTGAATGGCCAAATGACTTCATTGAAGGCCGAGAAAATCTCCCAGACCGAAGTTACGGTACTACAAACAACCGTCACAGCCTTGGTTTCAGCATCGTACGAGCAGGAACAGGGAGAAATGTCGTCGGGTTGGGGACACAGGCTCTGTCCGTTGATCCAGGGGATGAAAGGGAGGAGGACGACAAGTGAGAGAGAGACGAGGCGTGCCTTCATCTTCGCAGGCCAGAGGTTGGAGTCTCTCGCGATAGGCCGACAGGAGGGCCCCCTCCCCTGCTTCTCGTTTCTCCAGGATGTGAAAGTTCCACACCTGACAGTCAGATAGGATAATTATGCTGCTTCCATTGAAACTCCATGCGACCGAGCAGCTGGTGTACGGAGCTCGTGACGGATTTCAGGTAGGTCCAACTTTCCAGGAAATCAGCAAGGTGTCACGTAAACAAAAAAGAACGCTGGCAAATGGAGCAATGTAGCAATGGACTTCGCGATCGGGGTGGAAGAGGCAATAGAAAAATAATGAATGTCTTAATTGAATGAATCAACCGATATTCATGTCTCTCCGTGGGAAAATCTGAAAAAATTCCTAATTTATTCCTAACTTGCTAAAATGCTAAAAATGCGTGAAATAAAAAGACAAAAAATTTCACAAATATGACGGCATAACATAGTGCTATATTCCGATGATTCGCAAGCACAGCATTTTGGACACTGTCGTTGTCGTCGAAAGATCATATCTAAAGAAGAATATGAGTGTTAATCTTGGATTTTTTATTGTTCGAAAGATCATGACATGCACTTTTGAAGGAAGTACTGGGCTTCTTGATTCTTGGAGAGGCTAGTACAGGTCGCTGAAATTGGTCAAACTGGTCAGGTGCAGCTTCTTGTGCTACAGGAGGATAGTGTCCGCAATCAATTTAAAGACGGTAATTTCACAATTACAATGAAACTGGTATGAATCTTATATCTCAACGAGAGGGTCAGTTATTGCGAAAAACAATCATGCAATTTCAGTCTGCATGGGCGACAGGTGCCAAAAATAATTGACATGCAAATCCATATATCTGGAGATCTGTGCGAGAGATTAAAGAAAACCGATTGAGATCGAATTGCTTAAGTCGGTTCCTCTATGTGAATACCGATTTCCATCGAAAATCGGAGATGGTGTAGTTCGCGGGGAATGACCCAAATGCAAATGGGTATCTAAGTCTTGCGAAAAATCCAAATGAAGGTGGAGAGGTTCATCCTCTCTGCTTTCCGAATTTCCCACTTTCCTCGAGGAAATTCCAGCCAAACTCCGACGGGAGGGTCTCCCTTTCGGTCGCATCTGCTACAAACCGGCATCGAAAGTCGAGAAAGATTTCCTCTCTCCCCTCCCTCCCAAACCCATCACGTGATCTGCAGGGCTCTCTGCAGAGAAGACGTCCTACGATGATTTCCATGAGGAAGCTCGGCTTTTGCTTTTGAATTGGCTAATGCTGGTGAATTGGCCGATCCATCGAATTCCTGTGAAAGAGAGTCAGATAGATTGTTGTGATATATTGTCCCTTTAGGGACAGAAAGCCAGATTTAGAACAATATTTAAAATCTCCCATAAAGCAAATTTGTATATGGTCGATTGCATCGAACAATGTAGTCGCATGCAAAATAAGTTCGCAGTGTAGGCGGCTCCGACGTGAATTAACATTAATGACTTACGAACGGACCACCAGCGTGTCCGAGGTTATAATGACTCCGTTGACTCCTCGTTTGTAATACAATACATTTATTGAGATAACCAGTATTGGGTGAGATCAGTAGCAGTAGGGATCAGAATAGGGATATTTGGAACCGTGTTGGAATCCATTGCATCAGATGATTGATGGACAAGGAATACAAAAGGATCAATACCTGAATGGATGTTAGTGTGCGATGTAAAGACTTCCAACACTCAAACCCGACCTTATCAGGGGTTCAACACATGTCCAGCGTCTTCACGACAGTCCTCAACTGTATTCGCGATGCCACACACTCTCGTCCCGATAACTCCGCTGCTGCTATTCTCTACTACTCCCTACTCTCTGAGCGCGTGGGACTTATATCACATCATATCGAGGATGCGTATTGTCCAACACGACGATTTAAGAATCCTTATTAAGAGTACCTCCTACAGCAGGGCTGCAACTTCTTTCGCAAAAAATGTTTGCCAAGCTTCCTTTATCCCCTAAGGTACTCAGCCTGTACTCAGCCAGTACTCAGTACTCAGGTAGTATTCAGGTAGTCCAAGTAGGAATAAAAACCATCACCATCGACACGCTGCGTGTCGATGGTGATAGTTTTAAATCCTCAACAGGACCTTTTGAGGCACTTGATTCGATTCGCTGGTGATGTTGCGCGTCTTTGTCTCAATAAAACAAGGATTTGCGCTCCAATAAGCTGATGTTATGCTTGGTGTCGACTCAGTTCGGGGGCAGCAAAGCATTAGCGATAACCGGAAGTACCGTAAGTACCAGAAGAACGAGGATTACACGTCTGGGGTACTCGCAAGAATGAAGCAGAAGTCAACTCGGAACGTCTCACTCGTGCTATTTCAAAATACGAAATTAACGTTGCTCGTGGATTGTCACCTTATCGTACATTTTTTATGGCGGAAAAGCCATGTTCATTTTCTGCGTTCAAATATGCAAAAATTCACATTGGGTAATGACCAGAGACTGCAAGTTTCACAAATCGAAATGGTTTCCAAGTGATGACGTCTCGTACAGTGAATTTTAGAAAGGCACTATAGGGCTGAAAACGTTCCCGCGAAGGCTTGCGGAAGCCTCTACCATATCGGCAGAGTATCCGTGGTGGTAAGCAAACTTTTTCGTCATTTTAGAGCGATTCGCTTTTGATTTGGTGGCCTTATCTGGTTCCTGTCATAAATTCCCTGGCCCGTGCGATTCACCCCGTTAGGGATAGGCCTCGTCTCTTCGAGCCCGAGAAACGAATCCGTCGGCATGGCGAAGAGCCGGGTGTACCTCTGCCTGTGTCTCTTCCTGTTCCTCTCCCTCCTGCTGTTCTCGCAGCCTCCGTCGCTCAAAACCTTGCTCAGGGGACACAACGAGAGAGCCTCCAAGGCAAATCTCTGTCACAGTGACCCACTCTGCGACAGCTATCTAATGCTACAAGACGAAGATGCGGTGCCTTCCACGTGCAGCGCCAGGGCCACCTCGAGAAGGCCGGATGAGAAGGTGGTGTCGTACAGTTTCTTCGGATCCCGGGGAAACGGCGCCAGGGCGAGAGCTGCGTATGAAGCACTCGTGCCCAAGGTTTCTAAAAACGTCAAGGAACAATACCCAGGTCATTCGAGCCTCTTATCATTTCCACCGGAAAAGGAACCGATCTTTTTGACGACAAAAGTCAATACCGACCGGTATTGAATTCCTCATTCAAAATATTCCCATTCAATTTGAAGTACTCATATTCAAAAACATGGTATCGGCATTTATTCCGGATCTGGACTCGTCATAGATCTATTCTCTTGCTTGTAGACACAGGCATTCTGATGATTTAAGCTCACCATATTCAAACTCCTCCAGGAATTTCTATAACAGATGCTTCTGGACGATAATGAAAATTCCAAGTGAAATACTGCTGAGTCTCACTTTCTGTGTCAAGGATATCCTTAAAAGCTAATCAAATAATGTACAGGGTGGGCCAAAAGTCACACCCCATAGGGTTTACAATCGAATCATGTTTATTTTCATCTTTATTAAAGCTAATGTTCAAATTTTAGGCCACCAACTCCGAGGCACTTATTGACGTTTGTCCTTCGTTAGTTTCACGGCAAATTTTTGCCTGCACAAAAATGTTTTCATTTCGATAATAATTCTTTACAATCTTATGGGGCGTGACTTTTGGCCCACCTAGTAGTTTTGCAGATGTATGATATGAAGTCCATAAATGTAAAATTGTCCAAAAGTGGACCGAATGGATGGGAAATATACAAGTATTCAGCATCTTTTAGAATCACTTCAGCAATCTCAAATGAAGCATTGAACGGAAGCTCTTGATAGATGATTCCGTGTTAAATGTGAATTGTTCAGGAAAGCATGAATATCGATTCAATTTTAGCGTTTACGGAAAACCTACATCCGAAGCGAACACTGTATTCTTCGTTTGCAAAAGTATGATCATGCAATCGGATTCCAGGCTGGGTGGTGCGGATCTACACCGACTACAAGCCCGAGATCCCTGAGCAGCTCGAGTGGATGCAAGGGATCCAGGGCAATCTCTCGCACGTGGACTTTTGCTTCGTGGACAGGCTGCCCGTGCTGGGGAACAACACGGGGCTGCAGAACCAAGGGCGAATGTGGAGGTTTCTGGCGGGGATGGATCCTCTTGTTGATATATTCCTTTCGAGGTGAGGGATGGACGCCTATCCTCATTTGAATGACAGCCGATTCATGTTAAGAAAATATCGGAAAAAGATTACAGGAACGACTTCGTTTCAGATGATCTCTGAGGTTGAGAAAAAGATACCAGAATTAAGTGGACGGTGAATAGTCAATTTCTTATTTCCTGGAATATTTACCTAACGTATGAACCGACATTTCCGAAGTAACTCATTATTATTTTTCATTTCATTTCGTCTCTCTGGCGGGAAGCGACATCAGTAAATATAAATTTTCTTTGATGACAAATGTGATCCACTGGCAATACGTGGATTGTCTCTTTCCTATTCCATCTTCATCTCCCTGTTCCCCTCTATCCTATAAGCGCGAATTTCATGAAGATTCCAATGCTCTGCTTTACAACTTTAGACACACTCATTGAATCAGTGAAGAATTTCCGTGCTTGATCATTGGAATGAATCGAGTACTGTATGAAACACACAGAGTACTTATTCAATATGCATGAAGAAAATGCATTTGCGACTCGGACGTCATCTCGCATCAATTGTTGGAACTTGGTTTTTTTTAGGGCAACCTCAAGATAGTTTTGCCGCTGCCCCTTACAATTAATGCAGAAACGCTCCTAACGTGTTTCGTTGCAAGTTCTCTTTCAAGGGTTTTATTTCATTGCCTGACCCTACCTTGCAGACATATTGTTTTCTCAACTGACGCCGTTCTGGGGCTTATATAGGATAGAAATATCCTTGACCGCATTGACCTATTTAGACCATTTCTTGTCTCTTCAAGTACCGAATTGAATTTACCTGATCTGTTAAAGGTAATTCGTCGTTTCCGTCCATTTCTCGCAGAGACACCGACGCCCTCGTGATCGACC